CACTTTATTGACTGTAAAAGAGAGGTTGTGTCTAGATATTAGAACCCAGAAACAACAAAAGCCAAATTAATTCAACCCTATAATTTTGCAACAAACTGGATTGTTTCTGAATAAATTATTAAATGAGTGCACCCATCACAATTGTTTTAGCAATCCAACAAACTCTTATGATCTCTCTCTTGTGATGTTTCAATTAAAAATACAGCCAAAGCTTTTGTCACTCTATATTATGCGCATGCATTGTGTTGACTGTGCCCTATGCCTAGAGTGACCTTGGAGTGTGAATAGCAAAGTGTGATAGCAGCCAACCATAAATCACTGTCAATGCACAGACGGATCCCATCCCAGGTAATCTATTTGTTCGGATAAAATGTGGTGTAATTTGTTCTGCATTTCTTGCAGGCGCAGCAGAAAAAGGGAGAATTTGTGCAGAATCTTATGCATATGTGGTATTTCCTGGCAGTTACGCTTTAAGAAAGCAGACTCTGTTTCACACTGTAAAGGTTTCTGTCAGTTTGAGGAAGAAAACCAACAACATAATGTCTAATTTACATTCTTTGTGCTTAAAGGGAAGACAATATGTATGTGTCTGTTTTTCCTGGACTCTATTCACAGATTTATAAATGTAGGCTAAGATAGCATTAGCAAAACCCTTGGCATGCAAGTTTCCTATTGTTAAGTCAAAGGGCTGTGAAGGATCATTATCCTGTAGCAAAGTAATTGTATAAACTTTTAGTCCTTGGCGATGATATACATTGTACGCCATTTGCTTCCCAAACATACACATATTTGACTATATTTATTGCATATCAATCCTCATGCTGGCTTGCAATAAAACATTGCATCACCACTCAAAAGTTCTCAAAATCTTCATAGAGATTGTATTTGCATGCTTTGTTATCTCAAAGGCAGTTCTTTCAAAATGTTACTCTCTTACGCATTAGCCCAAGGACCCACTAGCTACAAGTTGCTACAAGACATAGTGACATTAGATAGTAACACGTATTCTGGATATGCTTAATGTTGATACATTTAAACGTGGAAATAATTAGTCTCAGATTAAATTTGTCCTGTGAATTAATTCTTTAAATTCTTCAAAAAATTGGTGAATTGAACTATTCATCAACCAGGGTTCCAAAGACACAGGGATGTTCAAAATGCTTATCAAAACTGAGTCAGTTAAATTAACTACTTATCATCACAGCTTATGCTAGTAATCACAATAAGGTCTAATTTACAGTAACTTAATTGAGTAAAGGCAGCACAAAACAAACAAGGTACAACAAACCAACTAGCACTAATTCTGCAATCTACTTTTAAAGAGAACAGGTGGCTAAGACAAGAATGTTGATGATGTTATCTAAGCTGATTGAAGGTTCGACTTTTTTTCAGATTACATGAATTGACAGGATTAAAAGAGGTCATGTAGCTTCATGGCCTAGAGCTCCAAAATGTTATAAAGTGCATGAGAGAAAGATTGGGGAAGAAAAAAAAGGAATCAAAAACTGTGGAGCCACTGAGACATCTAACCCAATAAACATTCATAGTACAAAAGAAGAGACAGTTGCTGCTACTGTGGGTTAGAAGGTTACCTTCTCTGAATTGTTTGCATTTCTGCTTCAGGTTTCTGCCACATTCGTGTTTTCACATTTGATACTAAAAAACACGTATTTATAAATGAGCTAACGAGCGCTCAATCTATAATCTATGTAATTGAATATTGGATATAATGCATTAAAAAGTTTCAAAGGACAGAACTAGCATCACTCTTTGTTAACATTCAGGTTTTGCTGAATGGTTTGTCTCGCATGATAACAATTAAACTACAGTTTGCAGAATTATGTAACTGAATTTTCCACACTTTCTGCAGACACTTTGATTTAAAGCTTTTCGTTGGCTTTACTTCATCATTTGCTCTGGAAGTGAATTAGAATGGATTAGTTTGGCTGTCCCTGTTTCATCACAAACACTGTTATATGAATGTCTGCACTAGAAATAGCACTCATTGATTCCATGAGAATAAATGGGTCTTTGTGTCATTTTGGGTCAGCATTGCAATCACACCATCACTTCCTTATGTAACAGTTCCTGAACCCAGCAGAAATGTTCAGCCACAGCTTAATGGATTAGAAAAGATTGGAAGAAAAAAAAAAGTAGTAAAGTTTTTCAGGTTGTATTTTTTTGGGTTAAGTCAGAATTAAACTAGAATGTCAGGACTGGATTATTGTGTAAACCTTGAATGCAGAGGAGTCTGTCCAGGCTGGACACAGATGGAAAACTCCCACATCCTGTGCATCTTTCCTCAAGGGTCCCATCTCTGGGCATGTTTGGGAAAACAAGAAAATCAATCAGTGTCAATTAGAGCTGCACTGAAAGTGAGCCACATACTGGGACAGAAGCAGTCAACAGCAGGAAACACAATTACTCTCCAAATCCTGCAGAAACTGCTCCAGGTGTGAGGAGGACGGACCGATGCATATAAAAGGCCCTCACTGTGTTCTATCTATCGCTCTCAGCTCACCCGCATGAGCGGAGACTTCAGCTGAGAGCTGGATTCTGTCTGGCAACTTTTATGTTTCAAACCTGTCCCTGTCAGAAAACCCAGTTTGGATGCCATTCTACATAATCACTCTGATCTTCAAAGCCTCTTTTCTCCTCCTCTCTGCTGCTTATACCCTCATGCTGAAATCTCTCCAATGAAACAGGAGCAGCGTGAACTCAAACCACCGACCTCTTGTTCTCCAGTCTGCATGCAGTCCCTTCCTCAGCTGCTGTAAAAAAAAAAGGTGGGAATTTCAGCAGCCAAGGCTGAATTAACCCTCAAACGTGGGAGTGTAATCACATTTGACTTGAAGTGTGAACAACACAGGCAGGCTGAAGTTTCTTTTCTTCCCCATTGCAATCACAGTGTTATATTTGAGACTTCATCTGCATGCGGAGAACACAAAGGCTTGCGTCAGCATATACCTCAAGGAAATGAACATTCAGACAAAGCCTGCAAAGAAAGAGGACGGCTCAGAGCAAGCAGATTGCACGGCTGGCACAGACAAATGCCGTTTAATTCTTTATTGTATATTTTACCATAATTTAAGGGCTAGAAGGAGATTCTTAAACTGAATATTTATGTGCAATAAAAACATTTTGGTGTGCTCTTGCAGTGATGTGAAAATACATTGACTCTGGGTTTCCATTGTTATGGTTTATATAACTGACATTAAAGAAGATAGTCATTGAATTGATGAATAGATTTATAAATCAATTGGCATCAAAATCTACCAAAAATCCAGTTACTTACAAATATTTAGAATATTTCTGTATCTCAGATTTAAACATTTACTCAGAATAAATTTTTAAAAATGAAACAATTGAAGCCCATAAGAATCACTAACAAGAGCTACAGAATTAAACTGAATCAATAATTTAATTTACAATTAACCTACTCCATTTTCTATTTAAGAAAAACAATAAAAGCACAAACAAAGACGAAAGTCACCACTTCTACTCTCCAACTCCAGGTTAAATCTGGGTTTTTAAATTCCTGCCCTAAAGAGCCGAGGTCCTTCAACTTTTGCATGTGTCTCTGCTTCAGCGCACTTGAATCAAATAATTAGATCATTAGCAGGTCTCTACAGTAGTTGATTGTATGCTGAAGAGCTATTCCAGCCATTTTATTCAGGTATGCAGAATCAGAGGATCACATCTAAAAGCTGCAGGACATTGGTGCTCAATGACTGGAGTAAGAGACCGCTGGATTAAAAAGTGGTCTTTTACTCCAGTAAGATAATAACTGAACTGGAAAATAAGAGTTATCAGGATCTGATGAAGTTTCCCTGAAGAAAGCAATTTTACATCATTATTTTGTTTCTAATTTCCACTTTAACCTGAATTTTTGGGAGTTTTTATCACCAGAACCTCTGAAAGGAAAATGAAATGAGAACCTCACAGAGTCAAATGTGGGCTATGTGACTTTCACAGGACTAATTTTTGCTAAGGCGGTTCCCCTGCAGTCATCTCTAGAGGATCTTCTATGCCAACAGCTGCTCTGTCTGCCAAAGGTCATTCTGAAACTGGCTTGCTGTCCATTCTGGCACAGCCTTTGGATGTCTGGATGATCCTCACCTACTGACCTGGATTGGACACTCAAAGACAGTTCCTGAAGGGACACTGAGCATACATTGAATTTGTGGAGGAAAAGCAAAACAAAAAATAAAGCAAGAATTTTGCACAAAAAAAATGGATGCAACATCCAGTATGATGCAAATAAAACAATTATAAAAGGTTGATGGGTCCTTTCTGACCAAGGAAAAACTTATTCTCATGATTTATTTAAATTTTTTCAAACAGAGCGCAGTGCTTCATTGAAAATTAGACAAAACATTTAGATCGTAACCACAAAGCAAGGTCATTTGCTTCTCATATTTGAAAGAGCTTGAGTCACCTGCATGGATGAGTTCCTGTAGGTGAACATTCAAATCTGGCAGGCCTTGCGACAAATAATTTAAAAAGTAATGATTGTGTAATTAACAAAAGTTACTTTATGTGGACATATATACATGTGAGGGTAAATTTCAGTTTCTATTGTTTGAAATGTAACTTTTGTTGCATCATTCGGCATGATGGCTCATGTATTTCTTGCTTCTGTCTGATGCTTTGGGCTTGTGCGTCTTTGCCCTTGAAGGCTCCAGTCGTCACCGGTTTCTGTGGCAACCCGGTTTTGAAAATAGCTTCGCCTCTAACGGCCCACATGCTGTCGCAAGTTCTCCGGGCTGGAGCCCACTCTGGATGCATGACTCATTCATTGCTCATTATCGTCCCACTCTCATTTTATGTCATCCTGCTCGAATGGCGTGCGTGGTGGTGGGGGGTGGGAGGCGGAGTAGCGGCTACTACAAAGCTGGTGTAGCCACGCTGTGATTGGCTGGTGGGATCCATTTAATCTTCTGCCACTACAGGAGGGTCCACCTCCATCCTCCTCCCCCTCTCTCCCTTTCAGCCCGCCCCTGTCAGCATCCACACACAACAGTGCGCTGTCTCTGTTCCAGGGGAGAATATCAGCTCTGTGCAGGGAGGAGAGGATTAGCTCAGCCACTCATCTCATCTGCATTTACGTTCCTAGGGAAGCACATGAGCATCCAAGGCTGCACCCCTTTTGTATAAAACCTGGCACTCCAATCATAGAGGCTGCACTTGATCTGCTGTCTTGACTGTGTGAAGTTTCAAAGACTACAGTATTTTTTTTTCTCTTATTTCTAGGTGTTTTGCATACTTTTCCATCATACTCTGAAAGGACTTTTATGTTGGAGATGTGCTTCTTTAACTGGGAAAATGCAAGTCATATTGTTTGACAGTCACTTCTTTTAAAAATAATCAAGGAGACTATCCTCAGTTTTTGGGACTTTTTTAACTCTTATCTTTTTTTCCGTTTTGGGGAGTGAAGCTTCAAAATGCCATCTCGAGAGTCCTACAATGTACAAAAGAAAGACAAGCCTCTGGTGCAAAAGGCCAAGAGAGAGGCCAATCAGGAGGACATTCTGGCGGCGGCTCTGGGAATGAGGATGGGGCCACAAAAACCTCCAGCCACTTTTTGGCAACCACTTAAACTGTTAGCCTACTCTCAGCTCACCTCACTGGTTCGCAGAGCCTCGCTGAAGGAGGTTGTCCAGACGCCCAGGTCTGAAAAAGTCCACAACTTTAAGGTAAGATGCCTCTGCAAAAGTGTGTTTTCATGTCATCATGTGTGGCCGGAGAGCTGCTGCTTGTGGGGGATGAGGGGGCTTTGGGTGTTGGGGGTGAAAAACAGAGCTGTTTCGGTGCCTTCCAGAGAGATTTTATCAAAAGAAAGTCTGTTGGTCAGGCTGTAGGGCGCTGCTGTCAGTTGGAGCACCAGATGGGGAGATTATGATGCTGGATGAGGGTGAAACAGTGGAGGACAGCATCCCTGTTTGCCTTCAGTTTGGTTTATAATGGGACAGAGAGCAGCAGCAGAATTTGACTGTGTTTTTTTGTGCTGGCCTCTTCCTGCTGCTTTGCCCTTTCAGTTTGCTAATTGCTACATTTCAATCTTTTGCATGTGTGAAGTTTCTAATTATGCACAGTATTGACGGTGTTTCACTGCCATAATGGACAAAACATAAAATTGTGAAACAAAGCTTAGTTGTGGTTTTTTTTTCCATTTAAAGCTAATTAGGCATCTTGACAGCTAAGTAAACTAAATATACTTTGGATTAGCAGAAAAAGAAACGATGTGTTGATGTTAGAAACATGAAGTAAAAACCTTTTGATTTCATGATTTCTAACATCAAGTTACATTTAAAACAAAAATCATTGCTTGAAGTTCTTATCCATTCATTATTTTTATTCATTCTTTGTGATTATAATTTATGCTTTCATTTTATAGAGTGTTTACACATTAGTCAGCAGTTAAACCTGGTACAATGCATCTCTAATTCATCAATTAAATCTCTGCTTGTGGAGTGGTTTTTTTGCACATCGAGGGAAACAAAGTCCTTCGAATCATCTGGAAAAAGGAAGCAATATTAAAGAAAGTCAACAAACAAACAAACAAACAAACAAGGGTAAAAAATAAGGAGAAACATAATATTAACAATGGAAGAAAGACATTGTTGTTGATGCAGTTATAATAAAGAGCAAACACAAGAAGCACAAGATTGCAAGAAGCATAGAGAGAAGAGAAAACAAGAAATCTCTATAAAAGCATTACATTATTATGTGTTTATGAAAGGTATTTTATTTATTTATTTTTCTCAACGCCGCTGACAAATACAAAAACACATTTCCGGCTGTGTCTTTTATTAACTTGGTGCCGGAAAACTGCCACTGTTTTTTTCTTGCTTGGCTCAGGGACTTCTCTGATTGGCTGAACTGTTGTTACCCGCTGGAGTGTGGGAGCAATCTTTGCTCTGTTTCCACTGAAAAGTCTCCCAGCAACTTATTATATGGCCACTGTGTGAACATCTCACAAAGATGCAAGACTGCCTATCACTTGTCCACAAACGCCTCCACCTTCTTTAAGACATTTACAATATGCCCTTCATACTCGTTGCAATGAAACAGAAATACTTTCACTGAATGCAAAAACATTTTTTTAGTCGTTTATTATTAAGTGGCCAACTAGGGATTTTTGTGCTGGTGACAATAAAAGCTGATCCTGATTTTACTGAAAAACATCTTTTAAAAAATGTAATCATCTTTTAGTCAAGTAAAAGAAAAGCGGTGAAATAAAGTATGTTTAAAATAATTTCTTTTGTTTTTGAATAATCCTGTTTAGGTTTGCATAACATTTTTTGAACTAAAAATGATCAAATTTAATCCAAATTCCTTAAAAAAACAATAAAATAGCTTTTAAATCTATGAATTCAGCATCATTATGAAGCTATTTAATTGCCTCATTCTCTCACAGTTTCCTGTCCCCAATTCCTTGCAATCACAAAAGCAACTGAAAACCCATTTGGACGCAAATGATAGATATAGACCCCCCACCCCCACCCCAGATTCACTCCTTCATAGATTGTCGCTCTGGGTGGGCCATGTAAAAATAAAAAATAAAAATCCTTGCTTCAGGGATGAGAAGAAGGGGAAGAAGGTCAAATGTTTTTTGTGTGTAAATAAGAGAAATTAAATGGCTGGACTCGTCTGATTGTCCTCCTTCCTGCTGCAGGTCCACACCTTCCGGGGGCCTCACTGGTGCGAACACTGTGCCAGATTTATGTGGGGGCTGATGGCTCAGGGGGTCAAATGTGCAGGTATGTTCAATTCATCACAATAGAGCAACATTATATAAACTGCTATGCTTCTTTACAACATTTCTTTGTTACACTGGTGTTGTTCAAAATGAGCATTACGCTATGTAGGATACTTGGTTTATAGTATATCTAGGGCTGGATTATTGAATTTTAATCCCAAACTCTCAACTCTTGTTTGGGGATTATTGATTGTACAACAAAGCTGTGATGCAACATATATGCAATGGGGTCTAAAGCCTTATTTTTGACCTACTTGTGTTTGTACTAAGTGGTATGGGGATCAGTCATGTGGAAAATTTACTTTCTGGGATAAAAATTCACAGCTTTCTGGGCCTGAAGATACAAAATAAGTCAAATGGAGTTGATGCATTTTACAGCTCTCCTCATCATCTCCTTTGATGGATTATGCTTCACAGGCTGAGCACATTTGAAGAACATTCACTCCAGAGGCACAGATCCGTGATCAGCCAGTTGGAAACTCTAAAATCCCATATTTTTCAAATGAGTGGAGGCACCATTCTGAACACTACCAGGTCATGCTGACAACCACCTTTGGTGTGGAAGTTGATGCTGAGGAATAAATATGATCAACTATTTAATAATTTGATTTTACTTTAAAATCAATTTACCGTCAAATTTGGTTGCTCCAATTGTAAAATTATAACCTTTCAAGTTGCAAAAAAATCTTTAAACAGCCTTTCTTGAAAGCTGCGATTCATATGAGTCAAAACTTTACAAGAAAAAAAACGTGAATCAGAAAATATCCACAAAATTCTGATCAGCTCGTTTTGCATACTCAAGTCTGCACTTTGTGCAGTCATTTTCTGTCTGTTTGAATTTGCTCAGTCCTTTAGCTGCGAGTAAAAATTCCTTGAGTGCATTTCATCTCCACATGTCAAATGCACCAGGTGAGATTTCTATCTCAGCACTACAACCCAGTCTGGTGTGTGTCTTTGATGTTTTATTGAAGCAACAAAGTGTGTCACGTAAGTCTGCAAGAGATCTGATATTAATTATTAACAACTTGATGCTGAGTGCTGACAACAATCTATATAAAGCCTCATATGGTGGAAGCTAGTCTTTATCAGCCACTCACATACAGACACATCATTCCTTCAGACTCAACCCCAGCTTGCTGAATCTGGGGCAGCAATGTCTCCCATGATTCTCACATTTGCATACCAAAAAAAACCCCTCACTGTTCTTCCAGCCCCCTTTTTTCTTTTTTGTATGTGTGAACTGTTTTTGGCCCAGTGCCAGAGAGCGAGGCTCTGCTGGTGCTTGTTGTGGCACATTTCCTCATCAGAGTGAAACCCCCCCACCCGCCGACCCACCCAGCCTCATCCCATCATGCCTGTGAAGGAAAACAAAGCTGGCATATCTCTTTAATGAGGTGCAGAGTTGGGACTGTGTGGAAAGGAGCTTTTTTCCACTCTCTCTCTCTCACACACACACACATACATTAAAATTCAGCCCCTTTCAATCATCGAGGTAGGTCAAGCCCTATTTAACCTAAACACTTGAAATAATATATATAAAAACGAGACTTGCCTCAAAAATCTTTCCAGACAGAAAGACGTCCAATACATTTTCTAGACTGGGATGATAATGTGCTGATAAGAAAATTAACCCTTTCTCAAATGGGAGAATAGTTAGAGTCAGAGTCTGGACTCCCTGGGGATCAGCCTCCCCCACCTGAGACCTCGGACCGCCACCATCCTCACACAGACAAGGGTGGCTCAGCAGGCTTGCAGCCGATGACACGCACATCCCTGTTATATGGCCTGTCTCATGTCTTTAAGAGAATCATCTCTTAGGGTAATTACATTTCTGCATCAATGCATGTAAAAGCAGGCGGTGCGAATTTCTCCGGGGATCCATATTAATCAAAATATCCGCAAATGCTAAAAGCTTCCAAAGCTTTCACAGCTTTTTTCTTTACAACACAGAAAATGCAACATTTCTCTACAGGTTCTCGAATGTACATGAAAAGCTTTTTGTTTAAAACGGCTGACTGGATTTGTGAAACATACCCTCGTTAGAACTGGAAGACACAAGCTCATCTAAGATCTAAAGAGCTGAAGAAGTGGCCCATTTTAATCTGGGAAAGTAGGTCTTCTGTAGCCCGCAGCGCCTCGATCGCTGCTTCCACTTACAATGAGCGCAAGCTTATATTTGAAAAAGAATAGAGCCCTGCACTGACTGGCCTTCCTCTGGGCACCAGCATTTTCACTGAGCCTTCTGACTCCCTACATGTGTCCCTGTTAAAGAGCAGAGCTGCAGCCCGTCTCTCTCCCTGCTGATGCTCTGTTCTCAACACAATGAAAGAAGCTGCGCCTCAAGGCCTTGTACGCTGTGACTGAGAGAAAAACACAATATGTTCTGCTTTTCCTGATATTCTTCTCAAACACTTGTCAAAGAGCGTATTATGTCTTGTAGATATTTTTGGGCAACCAGAACATTGCACTGCACATTCCCATTTTGTTTTCTTTTTTTTATTAGCTTATCTTTCTTTAATTGGTTCATCTGAATTCATCTAAGGCCATCTGGCAGGGAATCCATCTATTCGGTACTCAAGGTTACTCCAATGCTGTGAGGAGATTAAACAAATTCTCCAGAGGTGCTGTGACATTTCAGAAACTAATATGAAAAAATTAACAGTCACAAATTATCCAGTGAGATTTGGAATATATTTGTTGCCAAGTGCTTTCAAGCAAACAAGAATGTTGTGTCAAAGCAACTGCTTATTACTGATTTGACTCCTCTTCTTTTATAGACTGTGGTATGAATGTTCACAAAGAGTGCTCGGCTCAGGTGCCCAACGACTGCAAGCCTGACCTGAGACACGTCCGTAAGGTTTACAGCTGTGACCTCACGACCCTGGTGAAGGCCTACAACACAGCCCGACCCATGGTGGTGGACATGTGCATACGGGAAATCGAGTCCAGAGGTTAGTTTTTGTGCATTTTATATACAACCAAAAAACTTGATGTTTCTCACAGTTTGTCACATTACATCCAAAAGTCATTATTGAGATTTTATGTAATGGATCAACACACTGTTGATTTAATCATAAAACTAATCAATTAAGAGGCTAAAATGATGCGACAGTAAAATACAATAATTGTGGCTCAACATGTTTGTCTTGGAATATCTTTACAAATGAAGATATTCTGCTGGAACAAAACAATCAGAAAGGGGTTTCTCAAAGTGGCCACCAAGCCCATTAGGTCTTCTGGTCTTATTTAACCAGAAGACCTTTGTCCATGTGTCTGGAGTGTCCCCTATATGGGTTATGGCCAATTTAAACATGATAAGGCTTTCCTTTAACACCAGGTTAAAGTGCATATCTAACACCTATTGGTGTTTTTGTACTTATATTACATAATTATAGACTCTAAAAGTTGGACTAGATTTTATTTAATCATGTCAGAGTAACGGTGGCTACAAATGCACATCAAACTTGTCAGATTTCTAGTTAAAAAAATTAAATAATGCTTCATTTCCTTCTGCGTGAGCACAATTATTTGTGTTTCATAAAATTACAATAAGCTCTGTTGAGCCTGTGGTTGCAACATGACAAAAGGTGAAAAAAGTTAAAAAAGTTATGAATATCTTTGGAAGGCAGTATAAATGCTTTGCTTCCATCAAACATCATTCCAAGACAATAAAAACAATTTCATGTTTGACTTGTTTAAATTGATCACTGTACTTGAATACCAACTTTACTTTTTTTGCTCATTTCTTTACAGATAAAAATCTTTGAGTGGCTTAAAGACTTCTGTTTCTTGTATTTCTTAAGACAGTTTTCTTTCAACTCATCTTCAATGTGTGCGTTTTTGGTTGTGGTGCTTAAAGTCTGATTCAATTACAGACTAATTTAATGTTTTTGTTTGCAAGCGAAGGCTGAGTGGAGTGATGATATTGCTGGTAATTGTAAATGCGTAATGAGGAAAACATTACTCTGTTTCCTGCTGTCTGAGCTGATTGCATTTCAGTTAAATCATTCAGAGAACTCTGATTGTCTCCCCCCTCTGTCTGTCTGTACCTAAGTTTGATTATTATTTTTGCCCAGTGATGCAGAAAACTGCTTCCATAGACCCATGTTTCCTTTATTGTATGATACTGAGAATGTTTTGACTTCAATTTCCTCTGAATATTTCATGTTTATTCCTAAATTAGACCGTGCTAAATGCAGGTGAAAATGTTCTAAATCTCTTCTAAGAACTTGTTTGATATTTGAAATTTTGCATGTTTTTTTTCTTTAAGGACTGAAGTCAGAGGGCCTCTACAGAATATCCGGATTCAGCGATTCGGTGGAAGAAGTCAAGTCGGGATTTGATAAAGGTTTGTCTTCTTTGTTTTATAAATTGTTATCAAGTCAAGGATGACAATTGAAGCCTGTTTGCATATGTCCACAAGACATTCAGATCTCTTCAGATTAATGGAAAATTGACAGGATTAGAGTCCGTCTGGGAGTGCAGATTCTGACATCTCCGACTCCTGTTGAATTTCACTGTGTGGGCAGATAGGGAGGGCCCTCAGAGGGGTCACACTGTCTTAAACGTGGCTGTGCTGGGATTCAGTAGTCAACTTAGTGAGAATAAACCTGTCGTGGCCGAGCGCCATATGAATTTTAACTGTAAGAAAAACCCCACAGCAGCGGACTGAATCCTGAGCCAGATCCGCATGCAGGAGATCAACCATGACAGAGTGTCATTCCAGCTCACAGCGCTGTGATGTTCAGTCTGCCAGCACAAGTAGGCCAAACTCTCCTCTGGAAAGCATGCATAAATGAGCCAAAGTCAGAATTAAACAGGCCAAAGGCATGATAGCTGATACTCCAGAAAAAAAAGGAGAGAGAGCAGAAATTGATTTTTTTTTCCCTCTAACGCCATAACATAGTGTCTTTACTCCTCAGTTCACACTGTGATGCGAAAGTGCTGATGTGAGCCATTTTCAGTACAAGCACTCTCATTTTCCCGCTCTTGTCTCCCTTATCCTACCACACATCTCTGCAGATGGTGAGAAGACAGACATCTCAGTGAACGCCTATGAAGACATCAATATCATCACGAGCGCACTGAAGCTGTACCTCAGGGATTTGCCAGTTCCTGTGATCTCCTACGATGCTTACCCCAGGTTCATCGAGGCCACAAGTAGGTTTAAGAAGTCATTTAAAGCACGCAAATATTGTTGAAGAAGAAAAACATTGCTTTTCATTTCACATTTATTTTGCATATGATGTGACCTGCCAATATGGCAGGTAAAGAAAATTGTTTTTTCTTTACTTTTCTTTACTTGTTTTTTCTTTACTTATCTCTGATAAGTAAAGAAAAAATTACACCATGATAGAGGTAAACCGTAAACAAAGGAAATCCACCTGCAGACAGTTGTAATGTGAACCTCAGATTTATATGAATGTATGACATCGGATTGCTTTGCTGAAATTCTTGCTGAAGTTATTTAAAATAACATGCAATAGACATTAATAGTACTCAGAATGCAGCTGATGTGCTGCACAGAACATTTATAGCTTTTGTTAATTTTCAGCACTGAAGCCCTGATTTTATAAAAGCCCCAATTTGATTTTTACATAATCAGCTCAGATGACCAACTAGTTAAAATTACTTTAAACTACGCACACAAAAAAAAACATATGCATGCAGTGCAAATAACAAGCCAACTACAAAACCCTCAAATTACAATAAGCTCATGCCAAATGTGATCTGCATCCAGACAGAAGAAAAACACATTATATAGTTCTGCCGTTTTCTGTTTATTTCCAAGCTTCCAAGCTGTTGTTGGTGCAGATTGTGCATTTTACTTAATCATGTTTTCCCAAAAAAAAAAAAGTCTTGTTTAAACTACTAATATCTAACAATATCGCCCATTGCTCTTTGATACAAATGGCTTTTCAACAACAGGAAATACTTTAATCACTCACTGCTTCCTCTGAGGCTGGAGTGATGCCTGACCACTTCTAAAGGGATAAATAATTTAAATGCTAGATACCTCAGTGGACAGTTTTATCTAGCTTCAGCTATTTATTCATACCAAAAGAAGTAAACAATTTGGAAAACCATGAGGTTTGTTGTTTGTTTTGGTGCTAATAACTATTACTAGCAAAATGAGTCAGTGACATGATGTTTCTCCGCACAAGACAAACATGACCATTAAATGCATATATTTGCTTTTTGTGTTTTTTTTTTTTTACATTATATATTTTATAGATTTGTTCTATATACTACCATTGAATGTAAAATGTGCTGCAGCATGAGCGTGTTCCTTCCTTACTCTTTTGGACAGGATTTGCTTTTCCCTTTGGTTGTCTTTGTCAGACATTCCAACAAGATATCGCTTAAATAGAAACTCTTACATGTAGATGTTTTGAGCCACTCTACCCCTCGGGCCCCTGAGCCTGTGCCCCTCTGTCCCTTTCAGTGATCTTTTTATGCTGATCACGTCATCCTCTCTGTTTGGTAGAGTCAACAGATCCTGAGAAGAAGCTGGAAGCTTTCCGGGAGGCTCTCGCTCTGCTGCCGCCATCACACAAGGAAACTCTCAAGTACCTCATGGCTCATTTAAAAAGGTGAGTAATGCAAACAAGCCCTGTAACAGCTAATGGATAGAATGAAATTTCAAACAACTTAAGAGAATGGAAGAGGAACAGACACAACACCATTGTTATTTTCATTCCTCTCACAGTGGCGGGGAGTTGTGTGTATGTCTAATTGTAATAAATATTTCAGGGTAACACAAAATGAGAAATTCAATCTGATGAGTGCGGAGAACCTCGGAATTGTCTTCGGGCCCACCCTCATGCGTGCGCCCAACCAGGACGCCATGACAGCACTGAACGACATCCGCTACCAGAGGCAGGTGGTGGAGGTGCTCATCAAAAACGAAGATGTGCTCTTTTAAGCTCTGATCAAAACTGTTTTTCTGTTTTCCAGCTGTTCCCTATGTGAATACTTTTTGTATTATAATGATGGATACTTCTTTTAATGCCTTCTATATGGACTAGCATCTGTTCTCGGTGCACATGATGCACCTTACACCTATTTACCCACTCCCCATTTTTGTCGGGGGGGGTTTTAGAAGCTGATAGGCCCGCATGCATGGTGCAAGGTCTCTTTTAATTTGTCGTTGTACCTTAGCTCGTGTTAAGATTGTGATTTTGCATTAGTCTGTCCTGTAGGTTGTAGTTGTCATCCACATTCCTTTCTTGCTGGTTCTGCATTTACTTCTGTGAAACTTTGTACATCAAGATGGAAATAAGCTACTAAATTTTCTTAGCTGATTTTTATGATGCTGTATTTTTTTACCTCCTTGATCGTTTTTAAGTGACCCACAGTTTTTGGTTGAATCGACTTTCTGTATGTAAACGCTGCCGCATTTGCCTGATGGTAACATTTTTATTGTGCTATAAAACGGCAATATTTGTGAAATTAATTTTGTACTGTATTGTTTTTTTGTATACAACCTGTGCATGATCACTTTAATTTATTAAACCCTACTTTGACAAACTCTTTATGAATTATTGCCTTAATAAAGAATCAACATCATATTAGTGATTTTTTTTTTTTTCTTGTTTATGCATTTCTGTCTTGTTAGTCTTATGACTGGGAAACGACAGAAAAAAATGCAAGCTCAGTATTTATTTGGCTTATGTTTATGCGACGACGAAGACTCACTGCGTTCAGTAAATAGTACTTTATTACTGTTCATACATCTGATACTGCAGCAGAAATTACACCAAACATATTATTTGTATTTTACAGAAATGGTACCCAAATGTGGGGGCAATTACTGAGGGATAATGTTACTGAATCTCATTCTCCATCAAACAGATGCTCTGTCAGTACTGGTGAAGATTTGTTTATTGTAGCAAACTGAATAATTTAATTGGCTGACATAGCTAGAGGGTGGGTTCTGTTTTTCAAGTCAGTTAAGCAGATAACTATTTGACCTCTTAGGGACACTCATAGGCAGCGTGGAAGACATTAACACTTTTGGCACAGAATGATCTGAAGTATGAGAAATACAAAAAAACCAGTCGGTGGTGTCCAGGAAAATGTTACTTGTCCTGACATGATGAAGTTGCAGATTGAATTTTACGCCTGTCAACAGGATACACGTAAAACATACAAGGAAGGAGCATCATAAAATAAATACATACTCCAATTATATGATGGCACACAGGACTGAAATATGAACCCTCCCCACTAGCTTCCGGCTGCTGTGCTACGGCTCCTCCCCCACAGCAGAGTCTGCTTTGAATCCACAACTTTATGTTGATCCTTTGCCATTTGCACAGCAACAATCTTGAGTTTGTATGGTCAAGATTATCCATCCCATATTAAACCTTGAGGTCATAGTAACAATTTCAACAAATATGTTAAAAACATATGTTTATAAAAGTTATCTACTGCAGATTTAATGGTGGTTGTTCAAACATACATAGACACAGTGTAACTATAAACTAACCCACAAATCAATAAATATTTGGCCTCTTTTTCCCTGACTCTACAATGAATCAGATTCTGCTTGGGGCCTTACACATGAATAAATCATTCAGTTGGAAAGCTACCAGTGGGTTGTTAGTCCAATATAATAAGAAAATAATATTCCAAGTCTTTTGTTCTGTATCTCCCATTTGGGAAGAAATTTCTACAAAGATGTGCCTCCAGTGTTGCCATGTTTCAAAGCAGAAAGGCTGAAACAAAATAAGTCTGCAGTCACCTGGAAAATGAGATAAGATGCATTAAAAAGTTCCTGTGTAATACTGAGACAATAAATGAAAACATTTTTTTTACATTTTTGAAAAAAGTGAATCTAAACCCCCGCACACATCAGAAGACTTTCCCAAAAGACAGCCTCAAAACATCACTCTCATAGATTCCAAGTGTGATTAAAACCTGATCCTTGTTACCTGAAGCTACACTCCTGTGCTCCTCAGAGGGCTTTAATTACTGAATAAATATGTAAACACTGTCACACAGAATTAATCATCTCAATCCAAACAATTTACAAAAACTTGCAATGTGTTCATAATCTCATTATGAAATTTCTATTCATATATACAAGATTCAGAACACATATGAAAACTGGTAGAGAGTAACGTTTCTAGTTTATTTGGACATGTGGATATTTAATGTAAATTAACACTGTAAAATTCAACTAATATGTAATATGACAAAAATGTGTATGCATACAGACATTTGAATCAAATTTTATAAACATATATGAATTTGATACTAATTATAAAAAATTGAGTTAATTTTAACAAATAGGTGAAATAGGTTCTTTAAGGTAACCAGATGATTGCATAAAGTCAAAAACGCTGCAGCAATTTCTCTCTCCTAAGCAGCTGTCTGAAGCATTTAGGAAGAAGATTATAGCAGCTAATGAACTCGGAAATTGGTTTGCATTGGTCTTACGAGAGTTTGAAAAGTCAAAGCAAAATTTTTTAATATAAAGATAACTCAGGAGATGAATAAAAGAAAATCTCAAAATCACTGAATCTGGAGTTCAGTTAAATCCATCATCAAGAAATAGAAGGACTATATTGCATGTGTAAATCTGTCTGGATTGGATCGACCTCACAAACTGAGTGACTGTTCCTCACGGAGACCCATGAGAGAGACCATCAGAACACCACTGACTACGCTGAAGAAGTTACAAGCCTCATAAGCTGAAATCGGGGAGACTCTGCAGACAATAACTGTTTCGATTTTTCACCAGTCAAACTTTATGGGACTGTGTTAATTTGAAAGCCACTGTTGAACAAAACTTGAATTAAGACTTGACTGGAGTTTGTGGGAAACTGGTCACATGGAAAAAAGTTCTTTGATAACAAGAACGTTCTTCCTCTATTTTGATAAGACCAAAACAGAGGTTTTTGGTCAACAAATAAGATTCCTTGTTTAGGAGACATCAAACTCAGCTCATCAACAAAATATGCCACCCCACTGTGAAGCATGGTGGTGTCAGCATCATGCTGTGGGGACGCTTCATGGTAGCTGACCCTGGAAGACCTGTGAAGGTAGAAGATAAAATTAATGCATCCAGCTAAAGCCACACAAAAATAATCTGAAGACAGCAAGGTGGGTGTTTTAGAGTGGCCTAGTCAAAGTCACTTTGACATGAAAGTGTTTTGTGGTTGTTGGTTTTGATTTTTTTTAAAAAAATGTTGATCATGACTGATTTATGAAAATATGCATGTCAATAAATGTATGTATATATATCAAGATATTATATATATATATATATATATATATATATATATATATATATATATATATATATATATATATATTTTTTTTTTTTTTTTTTTTTTTTTTTTTTTTTTTTTGTCATTGATGATGAATATATGATCTGTCTTGTCAAATTTTCCTTTTGGCAGCTGTTTCTTTATTTTTATTTATTTATTTTTTTTTTGCCTTTTTTTGCAGCATTTCAGCAGCAATCAAGGCTTGACATTTAATCACTTGGCTGTTGGGACCACATCACATTGAGTTAACATAAGCCAAGCCCAGGCGTGTCTCGATTGTGTGGCAAAATTGGATTTTCATCCAACCGTTTAGCCTGCCCTTTCTATTTTGAATATATCCCACCTTCATCCATGATCTGCACTGACTGCAAAAGGAAGCAAATCGCAGCTATAAAGCTATCAGGGTCTTTATCTCCCAGGCAGATAAAGCCTTGCAAGAGTGGTGTCTCTTCGATGTACTGTTCATTGGATGTGCATCATTCGAGGCAACATGGCAATGAAAGTAAATTTAAAAGGCTGTGATCCATGAGAAAACTGACCTTTCTCTTCAAACTTCATGTTAATTTCTCCTCCCTGTAAAATCCTGACTTGAAAATATGCAAATGTTTTTAATTTTACAGATTGCATTCTTATTCTGTTAAATAATTTTTACCATCATATTAAAATTATTCATTTTTATAAACAAAGCACATTGGAAATGCATGCAATGCCGCCTTTGTGGTCTGGCAGCTGATTCCACTAAAGCCGTCATATTTTTGTCATAAGTTGTCTCATGTCCCCATCTCATCAGTCTTGAGTCAATCCATATCTTAAAGCCGAAATTCATTTTATTTATTTATTTATTTTTTTGCTGTGGGTTTGAAAAAAATCCAGTTTCTTTGCAAAATTACTTTTAAGAAAGTCATTTGCTTTCTTTGAAGGACTAGTTGGAAATATATAAGTGCTCACTATTGTTTTGTGTTAATACAATAAAACAACCATCAAAACACCTATTTTGCATATACAAAGTTTATTTCTGTGTACAACAACAGAAACAGACTACAGGTCTAAAGAGGCCTTTAGACACATCCTCATCCTTTCTGTTTTAAAGAGGTGCGGCTCCAAACATACTGTTTTTGTCAAAGTGGAACATTTCAAATGATCTATCTACTTTGAAAAACAATGGAAAGCCAAAGTGTATATTATTTTTAGATTTTCTGGCTCCAAAGCACATAGTTAGTCCTCAGAAGCCGGAGTTCTGCATGTTTCAGATTTTACCCTTTTTTCACACATCTGAATTAAATGAATGGTTCATTCGTTGGACTCTTTCGAGTTAAGGTAAATGTTGGTGAGGTAATTCAGTCGTTTGAATGAGCTGAATGCATCTAAACATGCAATGCATTGACCATTGAGGGTCAACGTTGGACACCCCTCGCTAAAATATCTATGACACATAAGTAATAAAGATCTTGTTTCTTTATTTATATAATATATATATATTTACACTGTGCTCTTTACATTGTTTAACTGTCATTATTATCTCTCCAAACAAAGCTCTTTAATCCTCTTAATCTCCATCCAGGCCTAAAACTCTAATGTGTGTAGTTTTCATCAACCCCCTGCAGATTGATGCTTCTATTCAGATTCAGTGAACATTTAATCACTTACAGAGCAGATGTAAACACATGAGGTACAGTCCTCCAGAGGGCGGAAACAGAGAGGGAGCTATAATCAGAGCACCAAGCATGTCAAACATCTGAACACAATAAAACGTGAGACATGAGGCGGGCTTGGATAACTGGAGCTTAAATGCTGTGAATTCAGGTGACCCAAGTGGTTGGATGGAGAGGAGGAGGGGAAAGAGCTAAGCCAAGTCTTTCTAATTCAAATGTTGCCAAAATGGTCATTTGTCACTAAGTGAGATGAATGGTGCCTGTGGATGAGTGACTGGCTGATTGAACAGATCGAGGATGTGAGGAAATTGAGTTGCTTGACCCGTCACAGGCCTGACGGAGCGGGCGGGGCAAAGCAGAGAAGAGACACGCAAGCAAACCTCCTGGCCTCTTGGAGACACAGAAATGCATTATATTGTTGATCATACTTATGTACAAATATTTTTAGGTGCTATAGGAATACTTTTAGAAATAAAAGAAGGTAAACCTTCATCTGTAATTAATAGTTGCAACTTGTAGAACATCTGTAGAGATTTTACCCAATCTTTGATTTATTTAAAAGTCAAAGCCTGTATTATTCTACAACCTTTGCTGATGTAAAAATAAATCCTCATGTAGATGCATGGGT